GTTGTCATGGGCACTCACTCGGTGGATTGATAGGCGCGCACAAGGGCAGACGGAAAACCGTATGATAACATATGATAGCGGTAGAATTCACAAACAAATCCATTTTTCTTCATAATTGCCCACTTTTCGACCCTTTCGCAGAAAACCTTTTAAAAGAAACTTTCAGTTTCTACCAGTAAACCATTCTCGACAATCATCATTGCTACCGGTATATCGCTAGTCGGAACAAGACCATTATTAACCTTCCCCTCCCCCCCGCACATCAACGAACAACACACGTCTTCAGCCAGTCACAGTAGGACACGAGTAATAAATAACAGTAGACCGCAAGTAGAATTCCGAGAAACCCGACTCGCCATCACCAAAACTCCCCGAAAACAGTAATAACAACAATAATAAAAATACCCGTGCAAGAGCCACCCCCCCCCCTCCCCACCCATTTACTCGAGTAAGTGAACCGTTGGGTACTGTACTGTACAGTACAGTACGGTAACCGGTGTCATACAAATACAGTACCGCTAGGTTCGGTACCCGGTAATAAGGCAACAAGGCAAAAAAGGCAACTTGTATACAAGTACGAGTACTGTACTCTCGTACTGTGCAATTATCCTGTTTGGAAATACTGTATGCCGGGAGGGGGGTACGGTATTCACTTTGTATGATGCCCAGGCAGAGTTACCAGTACGAGTATGTACAGTACTCGTACTACAGCGGGGGGGATGCAATTTAAAAGGGCCGCTCAGTCTCATTTTCATTTTTTTTTTTTGTCCGGGATTGATGAAAAGCATTTCCTTCCGCACTACAGTAAGGACTGAGCAGAAACAAAAATTATGATATCGTACCTATATTCCCCGTCTCCAGAATCGAGTGATCCCCGATGTGTCAGTCGAACGTCGTGATGCTTCCAGTTGCGCCGATAAATTAGTAGCAAATCAAACCTGACGCACGGACGTTGCATGGACGATGGGACATAAACAGTACTCGAGTAAAGGGTAGAGAGGTTTATCAAAGCTTCTTCTTGTTCTTCTAGCTCGGCCAATCCGAAGCAATTCCCATGCCGGGCTCATGCTTTACGAGAGAGAGTATCTGTGCCGGTACCGGTAGTAAGGGTCAGCTTTTCCAATCAATCCAAGTCCCCCGCACACACTGTATGATTCAAGTATCCTACCCCTTACAGTGAGTGGCTGGACCGGTACTCGAGTAAGCCGCGCGCCATTTTTCCCCGCGCGTTTATTCGTAAGCGCCTGATCAGACCACCCGTACGAGTACTGTGCTCGTATGGTGCACAGGCAAGCCTTCCATTTAGACCTTTTTTTTTTGTGATCAAAATAGCACTTTTCTTCAGTTGTGAAAGAGAAGAAAGTCGATCATTTGCCCGGAGAGGAAGGAAAAAAAAAAAACAGGCATCACAGTAAAGACTCGCAAAAAAGCCAAGATCAACAAGTTTCCACTCGGTCGTCATCCCAGTTCCCGGACGATGTGGTTGGTTCAAAATCTGGAATGGCCCGCAGATGCAACAAATACTGTACCGTACAGTACCGGTAAGTTTCAACTACCGGTTAGCCGATTTTTCTTTTTCTTCTTCCGATCATCAGATCTTTCGGGGGGGGTGTGAGGATTCTGGAAGGAGGGAAAAAAAAAAAAAAAAAAAGGCAGTGAATTCTTGGGTGGGTGGGTGATCGATAGAGAATGACTTTTATTGGGTTGATGGCAGGCAGGCGTAACTTGAGTGAGAAACGGGGGGGACATATCATGGAGTTACCGTAACCGGTCCAGAGTTAATGTAAGAAACACCAATAAACTTATCATCTTAAGACAACAGCTTATGAGAAGGAAAAAGGAAGGAAAAAGGAAAAGAAAAAAAACCTGCGAGTTTGTCATATGATTTGACCCGTGGCGTTCCGAGAAACCTGCCTGCCTGCCTGCCTGCCTGCATCTTCGAGCTGCTGATATGGCGATGGATGTGCGGTAAATTTGGCGAAATGCCTATCATAATTTTGTTTTTGACCGGTGTGCTGGATAAGTCAGGGCAACTATCTGAGTCTAGGATTTATTTATTTATTCATTTAAAGTTCTTAAAGACAGACATGTTAGGTATGAACACTCGAAGAAAATGTGCCTTGTGTGAAAGAAGGGATGGCTAACAGCTGGCGCCCAAATGGGTGATAAATCACGCTCTCAAGAAACTTCTCGGAAGGATGAATGAATACCTACCTGCCTGCACAGAGCGTTTTCCTAAATATATATATATATATATATATTTAGGACACATACAAGTACCGGTAGGCTACTTGTATCCACATCAAATTTAGCAATGTTTCCTTTTCTTTCTTAGGGTTCCAAGCGAGCGATCCGGAAAGCTCATCGTTTATCACTTTATTGGAGGGGTGGGGAATACAAACGTGAAAAGGAAAAGGCAGAAAACTTTGATCGTGACACGCCCTCAACGCAGCAGTGGAGATCAAAGAGTCGCCATGATTGAAAGAAAAGATTGTACCCCGTTTCTGATCATCATGTCAGGGGGGTTCTGATTCCACCCGTCGAGTTTTCGATCTCCAAGTTCTCAATCTTTCCGTGCGCCAGGGTTCGCTACGTGCACCATGATATTTACCAGAGCTGTGAGCAAGAAAGACAGGCAGACAGGCAGACAGGCGAGCAGTTACTGTATAATAATATTATTATGATGGTTCCAGGACCTCCGCCTTGCATCGAGGGGATGCACTTGCTTGTCCCCCTGAAACTGGGATTCGCACAGGTTTAAAAAATAAAATAAAACTGCCCCGGGTGTCCGAGCACCCCATACAGTACCGTATTGAATAGATTCGCGACCCCCCCCCTGTTTCCGGATACTTACCGTTACCGGTAATATTGCCAGAGGCAAAAGTGATCGATTGGTCAAGTATGGACGGGGAAAGGCAGAGATGAAGGCCTTCTTTTTCCTTTCCTTTTCCTGTATGATAACTCTTTGTAGGAGTCCAGGCGTCCACGAGTGGGCATGGACTTCGCGAAGCAAATTCTTCTGGAATACGGTATTGGGCCTCTCCCTCGCAGGCGATTCGAAGGCGGTGCAACTCTGACAGCGACCAAATCAGTGAATCACGTCTGGCCTTGGAACCGTAACCAGACTGTCATAGGCTATACAAGTTCAGTACTAGTACTCATACATGGGACCCGCGGTAAATCTCGATACGATCCCCATCGTCACACCAAGACGGTGAACGGATCAAGTATCGGTTTTTCTTACAGTAATCGCACGGCTAGGGCTTCCAGATTTTGCGCCTTCCAAGGTGCAGTATCTCGGAGTGCTTTTCGATACCGTACCCACTCGGCCCAATAAAATACTCCTAACCTCCGGGTCTAGAAGAAAATCCATTTCCCTTTCATCCCGCCTCCTAAAGCTCGCAATGGGTGAATGAATCAGGAGTCGCAGAGAGAGGGAAAGAAAAAAAGAAAAAGAAAAAGAAAAAAGAGGCGGGCGATTTTTGTGCCTCTTTCGTGGGAAGTGATTAGTCCAAGTTACAAGTACTCGTACTGGTAAAATGTGGTACGGCAAGCCGCTGGGTTCTGAAGAGGTTAGCTCGACCATGAAGAGTGCGAGGCTTGAGCACTGAGATCTTCCTCAGTGGCGGCAGGCGGGCAGGGGTGGACGAAAAGATTGCGCGCTCTTTGCTCGTAGCAGGCCGGTATCATACTGTACCCGGAAACGAAAAGGTTGGGGGCGTTTTGAAACGTGGGTGCTCAGATAACTCGCTCGCCATATACTTTGCGAATCCCCCCCCCTCCACCCGTTTTCGGGTGCTGTACTCGTACCGACTTCTTGCTTGGAGCGAGTGATGTGGTGAGCGAGAAGTATTCGGAAACTGGGATCCACAAAACATATGTGATAAACTCGTGCGTCCCAGTACTGTACTGTACCTAAGAGCCCCATACAAGTTCCAAAAGTACTCGAGTACCGGTACAGCACAAGTACAGTACCGTACAAGTAAGAGGATCTGGAAATGTGGAGATTAGACTTGGCACTCTTCAGCAAAAACTGCCCCCATTTAGACTTGTGTTAGGCTGGTAGTCCCACTTTTCTGAATCTTTTTAGAACGAGCGAGTATAAGTACTTGTAGACGCTAGATGGGGGGTCCTGTAAACTGCGCTAAAAGCGTCTGCCGTTGTACTAGTACTTTACATTCCTACGATTGGAGAAAGAGAGAGAGAGGGTACAGTTCTTTGGTGGGTGAATTGGTATTTAAACCTCCTCCACAAGACTCCACAAATTTGTTTTACTGTTCGGGATGTTTGTTGCACCAGACAGCACAAATTTGCTATCACACTTCCAGGGGGGTGTTGAGCAAATCTAGGATTGGAAAAACGCCAGTGCGGGGCTCTGGGTCGGTCCGCATCACATACAAGTACTCGAGTACCGGTACCCGAATAGCTACACCAAGATGCAAAGTAACTTCCACTCTACTTGTACGAGTAGAAGCCCACAAGATAAAATCTTACCGTATCCGCGCCCTCGCTTGTTGTCGCACCCGTCACGGTCCGGGATGTGATACATTTCTTGAATGTCTGAAACCCAATACTCCTTCCTTCTGGAGCCGGATGGGTACTCGAATACTTGTGGAAAACAGGGAGAACGAAACTCATTACTCGAGTAGTGTGCTGGTACCGTACCAGCTCCACGTCGTATTTCGAAGTGCTTGAAGCTTGGATCAGTATCAGGAGAAGGGCGGTATCATAAGCGAGTTCTCATTACGAGTAGTGGACACCAGGAGATGTAGGGGTCACAACCTTGAACCTTGAAACCTCGATTTGAGCCCCAGCGTTGGGGTGTTGAGCCGCCCATGTTGGTGGATGGATGGGTGGATGGGTGGATCACTGGGCAAGCTGAGGGTCGGCGAGCAGCAGGGGGCAAGCGGCCGATTCACCGCAAAATCCAGACAGCCATAGATGACTATTAAAGCGTCTGCTCCCGCACAACCGGGTCGCTGGGTCCCATGCATTAACACAAAGCACTCAACATCCAAAACCAAAATCGCGGACAAACCGAAATTGTTTCCCATCCCTCGATGATTCATCCGACGGCAGCCCACAGCAGCAGTTTTTTAGTGGGAATTTATGAGCGCCGGTATCCCTCCACCTTCTAAAAGTCCTTTGGGCCCTGTATATGAAACACCTCTAGACGCACCTATCAGCAACCACCACGAATCCAGATCCGGACCCGAGATACCCGCGAATGCTGAAACGATAGTCGATCCTCAAAGCGGCACGGCGAGCGTGTTCCAGAACAACATTGAGCTACAAACGGAGTTGGAGCGGATTCAGGAGGGCCGAGTACTCGGGGTGCAGCTCTCTGACTTTCGCCGCTCGGGAGAGGAGGACGATTTCGATTCAAAGGATATTGATATTAAGGGGTTATTAAGTAACCTTCGAAGCATGCGGGCCAACAGCCAAACTCAGTATCGAGCGCTTCGGAGGCGAAAAGGAGAAATTGACGGTGTTTCGCGCGGGCCCACGACTGCTGAAAGCGAGAGTTCGAGGGAAAATAGAATACCTGTTCTTGGATCGTCGCGTGTCGCAAAGCCCCCGGTACGCAGGAAACCACATCAAGAGCTGAGGTGTCCCTCTAAAAGAAAAGGCGGCCGAGGGTCAAAAAACAACGAGGATTCTTCCAGTGCGGCAGACACCCCCAGAAGACCAGAATTTACCCCTCCAGGGGGCACTTCAACTTTCGACTCATGATTCTCCTTTACGAATTTTCCTCTCTCTCTCTCTTTCTTTTTCTTCACAATTAGATTCATTGTAGATAGGAAACTTTCGACAGCACTGTATAACACGACCGGCTCCCGTTTGCTTTTTCCTATGTTTGTTTCCCTCCATTAGCGGTGTTAAATGTTACATGACAGGGCATACTGTAAGGTGTATTATTCTTCACATTTTTTTCTTCTTCTTTCCCTCTTCATTTCGCTTTATACCCCCAAAACCACCCTCTCTTCTCCATAGTAGTAGGTGAATATAAAACTATTGGTGTGGGTGCAGTTCTGTGATAACCTATCTTGCGAAATCTGCCATCAAAGGGTTTCCATCGGGTGATCTCCAATCTGTCTCTAATCCTGATTTTATCAGGACGACGCTTATGTTCCCCCATTAGATTCTGTCGTTCGGTGTATATCGATTTTGTGAAAGTTCAGTAAGCACCCCAGCACGGTAGGAAGCGAAGGATACCCGTATAATTAATACCTACCTGTTCAAAATAGATAAAAGGACAAATCCCACACGACAAACACAGAACATCGCAGCGCTCCTTCGTGGAGCAATAACAACAGGGCTCACCCTCCGCGGCCCCAGGAATGGTCAAAAAACGGTAAGCGAGCGGAATCTACGAAACAACAATTCCCCTCACAATTACCTGGGATATTCCAGATTCTCACCTTTCCGCCCATAAAGTCGGCGTCGGGTATCTTGGAGAGTACCGCCCCCAACATACGAGTAATTCCGTTCATGAATTCCGGGGTCGGTTTTTTGTTTCTCGATTACTACCGGTAGTAGCAAGCGAGCAATAGAATAATAATAATACAATTACCGTATGGTTAGCGGTATTGTATTAATTACAAGACTAAGGCTCAAAGCACCGGTACCGGGATGATAAGTGCACTTGGGCGGCCTAAGGCAGTAAAACCAGCGACCGGGCACGCTGAGTCCGGATTGCCAGTGGTTGTGCATCAGAATAATGCCATCGAATTAACCCAAGTCCAGATCAGTCAGAAGCTAGCACTAGCAACTATTAATTGCCAACAAATCAGCATACAGTACCGGTACTCTACCCAAATGTATGATACCCAAAACAAGAATAACGTGCCCGGCCGCAAATCCTACGGTACTTGCAAAGCTTTTGGCCGTCATAGGATGGAGGGGGGTGGGTTCTGCAGGAGGTCTATACCATGGGTGGTGAAACCTGCATCTTCCGGACTTCCCTTTTTTTCTTGCCCAAGCACTGCGATCTTATCCAACTTCAGAACCGTATACGAGTGATATATCATGACGCTGCAATGTATGTGAAACAAGTCTTTATGGTGAACTACCGATAATATGATAAATACGGTAGACTCTTGAAGAGTTTTATAAGCTAACTCCATCCAACGGTTGCGTGAAACAAGGCTTGTTCCTTCGCTGCATATGCCACCAATATTTTCCCCAACCCCGTACTTGTGCAATACTGGTACGGCACTGTAACTCGTCACCCAGCAAGGCCTCATCCCAGAACTTGAGCATCGTCGTCTGACCACATAAGCGTTGACTCGTTATAATGTTTCGCCTGTCTAGGAGTTTTGCGTGTATTATAAAATTGCCTTTCTGCCGCCCGCCTTCCACCGCGGTATCGCTTTTTGCGGGCTGTGGGGTGAGGGGCCCGCTCCAAGCAAGCAAGAGTGGGAAGAAAACGTCAGGTTGGGTCGCGGGCATAGGGCAGCGACCTTATCAAGTGGCCCGGAAAGCAATTAAAAACACTGTACACAACAGGGCTAGCGTAGGCTCCTCGGGACCTCGACGGAGTTGGAAGTTGTTTGCTCCTCTGGTATGATAGCTGATCTGAAATCTTCAGCCTAATAACGCCCAACTCCTGAAAATGTGGAGATCCAGCGAAAAAGCTTTCTTTTGTGATATCTTTTTATTCTCTCTTCCTTCCATTCCCCCGAGCTTTGCTGGGGATGCCTCGTTCTTGCCGGGTGCAGGGGTCAGGATGGATGAGGGAAAGACCTGGTTGGATGGGTCATCGGACGGCCAGATGTCTCATTTTGATAAGTGGTACAGTGAAAAAATAAGAGATTCGTGAAGTGTTCGGACATGAAAATGTCGAGAACTAGTATTTTGCCCCCAGGTCCAAGGATATCGGCACCTCTACTCCCGGATGTTTTAGGGTTTGATCCCGTCAGTGATCTGGCCTCCACGAGTGGGATCTGTAGCATTTCCTGAAAGGGTTTACTGCCAGAACGTACACGTACCAAGCACCGGTAGCTCGAACCACACATTGTATCACCGGCACTTTCGGCAAACAAGGATAATAAATTATATTGAACAGTAATCTGCCATTCGGAATCACACTCCCGGGAGGAGTTGTTTTTTCTCAAAAACAAAAGTGGTGGAAAACTTCTGGAGCAAAAGCGGCTCGGACGGAATATTTTTTTTACGACGGCGATCTCCTGTTGCTTTGGGGAGGATCGGCGACAAGGTGGTTGGTTTATGGTTTAGCTCTGGGTGACAGGATCCATCTGCCTGCGCCAGAACTTTCGAACCATGGGAAGAGGGGAACTCGACTGGGAAATTCTTCCTTGGGTGGTTTCTACTCTGTGTGCGGACCAAAACCCATTGCCCATGACATAGAGATAGCCGAGTAGAGGAGAGTTTTTAAGCTACCGAAGTAGTAGATAGCTGATTGATTCCGGTTTCCCTTGCTCGCCCGAAGGGTAAAAGAGATTCTGCTCCAACTCCCCGGGAGCGGGTGAGGTTATAAGCTTGAGTTGGTGATGGGAAGTGCTCTCGAGTATGCATATCATAATAATAATAATACTACGATACAAGGATTTCTGTCTTAGCTCGAAGGCTTTTAGGGGTGGGTATCGTACTTGTCTGCTACAAAAGGGTCTTGTACAGTTCTCGGGCGCAAGGGTAAGTCGGGAGCTGCGATTCTTAGTGGTTCTTGACCTTTGCGGACATTCAGCTTGTTTCGATTGGTCCGGGTAATTTTCGATCCCTTGGCCAGTCATGTGCCGTGTCCGAAATATCTTATTTAGGGAAATAACCGGATCCCGAAAGTATCCTTCCTTAGTAATAAATTACGAGCGCTTCAAACGGAGGCCCAGTCCCACCGGTCTCTTGAAGGCAGTGACGGACTATGGGATAAGTCAGATAGGTCCCAAGTAATGGCCATAGGTGCAAGTTATCAGGGGTGAGATTAAGTCTGAGGGTGAGCAGGCAAGTATTTTGAAAACCTTGGCTGCTGAAGGAGGTTCAACGGATAGGGTGCAAAGCTTGCAAAATCTCCGCTTGGCCAACCGGCAGACTTAATATCACCCCTACTACCGTGGTGATACAAGAAAGCAAGCCCCGATGCACCGTAGGTGTCATGTCTGGGCTTGCCCGAGGGGGGGGGAGTGACGATATACCAGTAGTACCGGTAATGTGAAGAGATCTGCGAGCACGCCCCACCCTTTTCCATGATTCCATCCCATATATTTCTCATGTGAAGTCACTCGTATTACCATTCTCGTCTTGGCGACTGCCAATTACAGCTTAGGATCCCACCCATTCCAGGAAGTGGGCCCAACATTTGGCCGTGCAGCACACTCTCCGATGGCATCAAAACGGCAGCTTGGAACACATCCTGCCATGGGATTGGAGGGTTAGGACGCCTACAGCCTAATATGGTTCAAATAGGGCAAAAAGTGCATATTTTCCCCCCCAAGGTTTCTCACTAAGTTAACCTGGTAGACCGCCGATTACCCGCTGGATCCAGGAGTTCGAGACGAGCCGGTTGGCAAGAGGAATTTTGGGTCCAAAGATTTTTTCTTTCTGTCGAGTAGAAACTGTTACCAAGGACTGACAGGCCCAAATCGGCCTAACCTGCCGAGACCCGCGACCCGCCAACCAAATATTGCCCTTACCTCGTTTCCGGATTGTGGGAATGATGCAAACTCACCCGCTTTTCAGAGTGAGTGGGGTCCGCGTCTCGCTGCATTACTCTACCGTGGGAAACTGGTGTAAATCGGGCTGGGGCTGCGGGGGGAAGCTAGGCCGAGAATGGGTGCAATGTGTGGCTATCGGGCTAGCAGTGGCTGGACCACACAATGAGACCTCCATTTGGGCCAAGAGCACAAAGTATCAGCCATACAGTATGCTCGTCGCTAGATTACAGTGCCATATTATTATGATCATGCTCGAGTACCCTCCTCTTCCGCCCTCCCGACTTCTCCTGTGAACACCCAGCCGTCTCAAGGGAGAGCCGATTCCAACCCTTCTCTACACACACCACATGCCGACAACGGCATTTTCAGAGGAGACCCACTTCCTTCAGCTTGGGACTCGACTCTTTGTTTCGTCGCACCGGTGCGCGGTGTTGACGGAACATGTCCTTGAGCCCCAACATCCACTCTGATTTACCGATTCTCCTTCCAATCACGGAAGACACGGAAAACACTGACGACCAAACACTAGCATTCACTCGTTCAAATCGCCGTCTACATCCACCTCTAAAGCTCCCCGGCCTTCACTTCCAGACGTCACCTCAACCTGCTGAAACGGAGAATCCGTTTTCCTTGCGACGCCCGCCTCAACTCCCCCTTCCAACTATTGATGAGATCGCTCCCCACACTGTTCCTCCAACAGAACCGCCGGCGATGCCGGAGGTTGCAGACGACTTGGACCCAGAGCCACGGGATGAGGATGCGGATGCATACAGAGAAGCACAAGCCCGCTTTGACCAGGTCCACAGAACTCGTCACGATCCCTCGACATTGTCCGGGCGTCGTGTTCTCAAGGTTCCACGCGTTCGTAAACATCAATCCTCGTCAGCACGTCGGGAGCGCAAGATTCGCTCTCGATCTCACTCGTCAGATGTGGATCTCTTGGATGGGGCGGTGGAAACGTATTCTCGCGAGCAACGCCTTGGTGGATATATACCAATGCAGGAAGAGAAGCTTAAGGCAGAGCCAGGCAGTTTCCGACACGGCAAGGCTTCTGGTCCCCCGGCCAATGTTCCTGGGATACTGGTTGAATGCACTGGTGAGAGCAGGCCAGTAACTCCACCGAGAATAGACGCTGATACGGGGCGAATGGATTGGTGCCAACAAACTCCTCCTCACCAGACTTGTCTTGAGGAATGCCCTATGGATTGGTCTGGGAATTCACCGCCAGTGCCAGGAGTAGCACCTCCGCCTCCGCCTCCACCAAATATTTATTAAACGTGGAATCTCCCTTTAAACACGGTTTCTACAGCGGCCCTACCGCACCTTGTTCCCAACGACCTTCATACTGCAGCTGCAGCTGCTTCTTGTGCGGTGCATGCTTGGGTTTGCTTCTTGAGCCACCCCTTTTGGCAGGATTTCGATCACCAAACAGTTTGCCCGTTGTACTCATTTTCTAATAACCAGAGATACCATTTATTTTATTTTATTCCCCTTTCCTCCCTTTCCTCCTTCTTGTGTCCTTTTGATTTTTTTCACCCGGCGTCCGGGGCGTGCATTTGACGCATTTCCATCTTTTTTTGATTTCCCCTGAATTTTCGCCTCGCTATTATCATTTTTCCCCTTTCAAAGCGGTGTTTTCGGTTTCATTGTGCGATGAAGTTATTTCTATTCGTGTTCAGTCAATCTTAGATGGCCGGCGCTGGGATTTTTCGTTATCGTTATTAGTGATGTTCGTTCATATGGCTCGTTATGAATCTGTCGCTGTTCATTTTTGTTATTTTTTTTATTCTATCCTGACCCGATTTTTCGACACGGGGAGGAAGGTGCCCTGACATTGGATTATGGTTGGAGAGTCTCATTTACTGTAGCACACATTTTCGTCTTGCGCGTTTGAGCTTCCCCTTTTAAACCGGGAGAGTTGGGATTCGACACGACGCTATGACAATGAAATAAGCGGGAACCTTGCAATTGGTTTGGAGATCCGAAGATCATGATGGGGGATATCTGGGTATCTATACATTTGGACCGTAAAAGAACCTTTCGCGCCCTGTCTATGAAATTTGAGTGTATTAGAGGGAACACTGTTCGGGTAATGGACGAGTTCCGACCGGCAAACCAAGATGGTGCGTGGTCTATCCAGCACCCTTCCTCCTCCCCATTTCGAAAGAACGCACGCCCTCCCCTCCCCACTTTCATTCCCCCTTTGAATTGAAGCGACACGCTTTGTCCTCCATACTGTGAAAAATCTGGGCAATAATTCTCGTGAGCGGAGGCCTCGTTGTGTACCGTACCCTACCGGTATGGCAGAAAGTGGAGAAAAGAAAAGAAAAAGCCCCCACTTAACGCCCCTACCTCGAGGAAGGTTGTCCAGGTCCCCGTCCGTCAGAATACCGCCAGTTCTCCCCCCAACCAACAAAGCAAAAGCAAAAACCCTGGGGCAAATCCCCGCAATTCAATAAATAAATAAATTGCCCTCCGACCTCGGAAGTATTTTGATATATTATGCTGATAAAACAATTGGGGAAAACCAACTCCCAGCAGAGAGAAATGCAAAAATTTTCCATGATACTCATCATATGGTAACCGATCGCAACTTCTACTCCACAAAACCTCTTCTACTCGTGACCACTTCTCACACACACACACGATGGAGGATGGATGGAAAAGCCGCCCCTCATGCGGGTAAGACATGTTGGTGCAAACCGGGGCATGGTTGTATCATAACCGTAACTTTTAATCCTTTTCCTTTTCGTCTTTGGCCTTTTTTTTTTTTTTGTTTCCAACTTTTTTACCGATATTTTCTTTTTTTCTTCAATTCATTGATATCCTTGAAAGTTTGTTGAGACAACCTTGCATAAAAAAGAAATCCCGTAAAACAGCCCTTGTGCGGGTTGCTTGAATTTTTTCAGAGCACGAGTACGTAAAGGTAAGTGCACGGGTAATTTGTCACCGCCAGTGAAATCTGGTCGTTGCGGGTTTGGTTATGGTGTTGGAATGCTTGGTATGATAAGAGCTATCGGCGTCTAGGACTAGTCTGAGCTGGAGAGAAAGCTTTGGGGCTTACTGTAATCCGGAAGTTGGAAAAGTTGGAAGGGGCAGGCGCTTTGATGATTTGGTAAGCAGGATGGTTTAGCGGTCTGATAGTCTACCCTCCTTCCCGTTTACTTCGTGGCCATTAGAAAACGCTTTTGCTCTATTTCTCATTATTCGGTATGATAAAACCAATTGTGGTGTAGAATTTTAAAAGAAGTGTCCCTAGAGGTATACGTCCAAGGATGGTAAAGCTATAAAGGATTTTTGTTACTCGTACTGTACTATTCCCGGGGGAAGGGTACTGATATATATCATACCTCGATTCCAACCTCCACCCCCCTCTTGGGCTCATGAAGGTAGGTATATAATTCTCTGCACGTTGGTGGGGAGAATAATAATAATAATGACATAAATATAGTATCAAGTTTTTCATGGGGTACAGTAGGTTGAACATTCATCTGAAGGCAGAGAGTGAGGAGTCTCCGTGACAACGTTAATTACCGTTTACCATGCTTAGATCCCTTTCTAACGGAGAGAGTTAAGGGGAAGAGGGAAGAAGTGCCAAGGGGATGATGATAATAACACTAATTAAAAACCTGTGGCATGTTTGTAACATATCAGATATCACGACCAGTGACGCCAAGTTGGATGGAATGGTTGGATGGAAATCGGCGAGTTCCGGCTATGATAAATACGAAAAGTGATCATGGATGACTTCCTTCCATTCTTCCAGTTGCGAGCGATATCGTAATTCTCCTTTATCGGTGGATTCGAGACCGATATGAACTTTCCGTTCCCGAGGAGTGCTGGAAGTGTCGTGCTCTACCGGTTATATAAACAATCGGGGGAGGAATTTGGTGAGTGTTCAGTTTTTATTATATTTGGTATCATCGTGGGTGGGTATGGTATATTTGTGTGATGGAATGATTGAGAAACGTCTAACCAAATTAGAAAGGCCCCGTTTGGGCTACCGTGTTGACGGGTGCCATTTCGTGTACTGTACTCGAGTGGGTATTATCGTGCAAGTGCTTTTAAATGGCACATCTACAGTAGACTTTCGAAAATTCCCTGAAAAAGTAGTTCAAAAAGCCTACCGTACGAGTACACACCTGTTATTGTGTTCACTACGGTATGATAGTTTATTTTTCTTCCACCTACTATGATACTTTTCGCTCATCATCAAGTTTTGCTTCCCCACCCCGCCGAATATCATTTGATTTCGTCTCCCCTGTTAGAAAGGGTTATTATCATTCCTTATATCCCCTTAGTTTTGCAAAAATCTGCCCATCCAACTCCTCCATCACTTTTCAATTCAACTCCCTTCTTCTGACCCGGTATTCCGAAAGATTGTCATCATCGTGCATCCCCGCCGAGCGTTTTATTCCCCCTTTCTCGCAGCGGTCAGTCGAGTAGACATCCAGTGCGAAAAAATGAAAATTGAGCGAGTGGCAAGGGGACACACCAGGGCCGGGTAACAGTATCTAGTACTCGAGTGAGTGAGTATCATACGTATACCAGAGAGGACCCAGATTGCAGGGTAACCGTGCTGCAGCGACAAGGCTATTTAACCCAGAAATCATTTCTAGCTATCAAGCCGGCCGCTACCATCGATTTTTTTTTACAGCGGCTCAGGTGAGCTTTGATTTTGGGCAGGATCACGGGCGTATGTATACTAACTACTCGGGTATGAACATAGTTGATGGGACGGACAGGGGCTTGACGATGTCAAAGCTTCCTGCCCTTCCTGGCATCGCTTTCACCAAATTAAAATACATTTTTCCATCACCTACGCCCAGACCCGAGTAGTATGTGGGTTGGTTTAGAAGAGATCCGGTCGATCCGATCGAGGATAAAGGTGACACTTGCGAATTCCCGTCCGAGGACAGTGTCCCGGGCAGGATCCTAAAATTAGAGTCGGTCAGGGTTCATAATGTCTAATGCGGGAGAGAGATTCTAACCGATTAATAGCACTTCGCCAGCGTGAACATTGGGAATGGAGAAATGTGAGAGGCAATGGAGGGAAGGTTTGATAACCTAGAGAAGTGGTTAAGATGGGTGATTGCTTTTGGCATTGGGGTTTTGGGTTGAGCATACTCGGGTATGGACATATTATCATACCTAATAGTTAGTACCTCACAGCGGTAGATCATTGTCTACTATTCATCCATATCCGGTAGTTTCTTGATACCGGCCTGTGTACAGGTATGGTTTTTTTGTGACTGCTGCTATTCTTGAAGTGTTGCTACGGCTTTGGTAGGACAATAATCTTGTACGGCTTTTGACTCCAGTTTATAGTTTGTGGAAAATGGGAGAAGGGATTGATGCTACTGCTGATCAACTGAAACCTGTCGTAATCGAGCAGCTGTCCAAGAAGTTTAAGACACACAAGCCTACTTAGTATAATATGGAAAAGGGATGAGAAAAAAGATAAAAAAAAGTCAACAAGAATAGCGTTGTATAATGTAATTGGCAACAGAAAGGAAAGGTAAGTGAGGTAATTAAGCTAGTGGTATAATTGAGTGTCTGAAGAAATTCCGTCGCAATAAACTATCCAGTAAGTTTATCTACTGATGGACTCGTAACCAGCTGAAACCCTAGTATCAGAAATCAACCCCCAGGAATTTATTTTTACTTAACCACCCATCAAAACCTGTAAAAATTGTATATACAGAACCTCTAAAAGTATAATATTCCTAGGACTTTAACGAGCACCGTATCCCTCTTACTAACGATGGAAAAATCGAACCCGTTTTGAAGGGATTGCTTATACACGTCATGTGCTTTTCCGATTACAACCAAAAAGACCAACACTCGAGTTCTAGCTGGCATTTTCTCGCGTCATCCCCAGCACCACCGAGCCGGTATAGCAAGTATTAGCTATCGGGGACGCAGCAGAGCTTGGAGTCTAACCAAACTCGAACGATAGAACCAAAGGACGAGTGATATTCTATGATTTCGAGTTGTAAGTTGTTACTGTCTAATAAGGGGGGTATAAAATATGGTAGTTAAAAAGAAAAGGGAAAACCGAAGCCACAGGTATCATCAGCAAGACCCACACAGCTTTCCCGGAGCCAAGGGTGAAGCGACCGCTCATTCAAACCGAAAACTTCCACGATCATAGTATATCACTCATCATGGTCCGTTTCGTTATTTTGTTGTAATGGTGTCGATAAAAATACTCATCTTCAAGTGACTTACTTTTTTTTTTTTTTTCCACGTGGGATAATGAACATGTTCCCCCCCCCCCCCCCTAAATACATAAAAATGAAATTTTAAAAACTTTTTCAGATATGTAATACTAGACAGACGCCTCTTTGGCACAACCGTGGTGGACCGACCATATCCGACGGTTATAGTACTCCGCTACGTATATATCATAGGTAAAGTGCTTTGCTGTACTGTACTTGTTGCAGCCACATTCGTAAAAGTTCCCATACCCTCCCTCGCTCGTATGATACATACCTCGAGGATTCTGTCCATTAACGGGAAGAGGCTTTTTTTTTTTACATCGGGTTATGCCCTTGGCGATGTTGTCTGGTTTCATCCCGGTTTGTTTGGTTGGGCGGGGGGAAAGTCGGGGGTACTTGTAACTCGGAAGTGTGAAAACTTTTTTTTACCAATGCGGCTCTAATTGGTCTTGGATCATTAAATTTTGGTGTATCCTACGCACCCCCTTTTTTTTTTCAATGCGAATTTCAGGGTATTAACTTATTCCATAATAACAATTAAATAATATTGACGGTGTTAAGATAAAGGTACTGTACTGTACACGAAAAATTTGCCTCTATAGTGCACATGCTGACAGATCCTTCTTTATGTTGGAACAGGGGTCCGCTGACGCTAACAAGGTGCTGGTTTTTTTTTTTCCCACGGGAAATTCCATACCGACAGCTGACCGTCCCGAATCGAGAACACTTCGGTACCCGTACCCGCATACTTACCCGGACGACTTGGCGCCAAGACTGGCATTAATTGTTCGGACACTTCGTGAATCCGCTGTATTGTTATGGTGTTATCGTGACAAATGCGATTTGACCATAGTCAGTGTGTATAGCTACGCTGCTAAAAGTGTTTACATGTGGAGTGCGCTTCTGGCGGAGCTTCAACTATCGTGCTTTTGCAGGTTAAAACCTTTTTATCCTAGCTCTGGTAGTTGTCCTGAATACCAACTTTTATTTTTTTCATGTAGCTCCTATTCTGCAATGCTGGAGATGGGAGGTACACGTGCTGCTACTGAGCTTCGCGGATAGCCTTTTCTCTTTCCGTCTTTCTCTGGCCGTGTTCGTTTCAGAGCTATTCTAGCATACGTGGGAAAGTGGGGCACCGCTCAAGTGCCCATCTATCATATCTTCTCTGAGTAGGGAAATCTCGTAATCTAGCTGCTTACAATAGAGCATTATCAGAGAGTTATCAACAAGCATGGAATCTCACCCTTGGTGAGAAGGGTACGGCTGTAGCCTCGCGTCCTTGTCGGAAAGTATCTTTTCTCGTCGTTCCTAGAGGCTAGAGCACGTCGACTTCGACCGTGCCCTCGTTCTGCCTGTGCTTGAGTTGGGTGGTGGACAAATCTGAGTTCTGATACTGACTGCTAGAGCTACGTAGGTAGGTATCATAGCTAGCCAGAAGGATGGGAGGGAATGACCCAAACGACAGCTTAAAACCGCCTCAGTGCCACTGCCACAAGGAAATTACAAAGGCCGAGGAGCAATCGAAGGAATTGAAAAGATAGTGCCCATGCAGACCTGCAGCCGTGGGATCCGTTCTGTTCCATCGTAGCAGCAGAAGTGTTGATGGAGGAGCAGGATCGAGAGGCTGTGAGGGCTGGAGAGATGGGAGAGGCGTTGGTACCTTCGGATGGGTCTGTGGTTCGTGGGCGGGTTGGGGCATGGTGGTGGAGGAGAAGAACAAGTGGGTGGGGGCGTGCCATTAAGGAAAGATGTGGAGGTCTACGATGGAGAGATGGTAGGGGATTGCGGTGGGAGTGCAAATGCTCTGTAAATGTTAATCAAGGGAGTAGGTGCGAAGGCCACCTTTCTGGCAGACGGTCAGGCTCTTGTGGCGCGAATGGGGAGGAGGGAGGGAGGAAGCATGGGCTTGTTGGGGATTCTCAGAGGGGGCGCAACAGAATAACAATAACGTGGATAGGAACGTTGTGGGGTGGAGGGTAATGAGAGGGCTGGTGCGCTCGCCCGAGTAGGAGCACAGTCGCTGGAGGAAAGAAAGCATCCGTACGCCTCATTTGCATATGTGAAGAACACAACTGGGGAGGTTAGCAACAATACGTGCTGTCAGTGTTACCCAACATCTGTAGCCAAGAGGCGAGAATTACGGGGGGGGGGGTACACAGAGCAACTGGGCGGTTTTGGTCTGAAGGGAGGAACGTTGAGAACGGGCACTGATCAGCGGGCCAGCTGGGGACAGGTCATATTGACTGGGTAGTTCTTCAACAAGGTTGGAAAAGCAAGTGACACCTGCCTGTTTTTGTGGACCCCCAATCCAAACAGTCCCGCATGTGCTACTAGAATACAGCCCTTTTGTTGGTAAGGTGCAAAAAGGTTGAGGACAAGCTTCGGGTGGGAGCACCACTAACATCCATGATCCTGTGCAGTCAAGGGGGGGGCTTCAATAGACCTTTGGCGGGCCTTTCTTCAGCTGAGGAGAGAGATCGAGAGCCCTGGGAGGATAGGGCATAGGCAGCCACTGGACACTGAGGGGCCCAAGACTAGATCAAGCATAGAAAATGGCCTGTGGAGCGGGCCAAGAAGTATGGGGAGAAAGTGTTACTCTACGAGTATGATATTGGTAGTGGGGGGGGGGGGACGGAAGGCAGTTTGATTTAAAGGATTGTATAAAGATGTGCCATAGCCGTTGGTCTAGACACAAACGAACAAAAGTAGAGTCATGTTGCCTTGATCCCCTTCTGGTGATAGATGTGTATGCTGTTTGATTGTGCATGATGGTAGAAACTCAAAGGACTGCTTCCTGATGGTATCCTGAGACTCTAGTAACGACTGATATTGGATAGACAAGTTATCTCCATCACGTTTGTAGCTCCGAGAAATCCTCACAACTCTCTAGTAATAGTAGTCTGGTGTGACGTCCTGATGCTAGTTTGCCTTGTCACTTTGGATCCGTACACATATTTATAGCCCGAGCCAGGTTACTTGTGATCTGGTCATTCCAAAATAGAGAAAACTTGTCGATGGGCTCAGTTTCGTATGCCCTAGTCGCATGGCCACGTCATCAGGACCAATGCGGAAGTATAGAGTCGGAAGAAGGACGTGAACCATCTGGGTTTACAACGAGTATCAGGAAGCCACCCTGGAGTCTTGGAAAAGGCGAGCACTTGAGGTGCGAAGGGATATATTGGGAAGTGGGGATACCAGCTCCCTGTGTATAGAGATCTGCGTGAAGTGCATGACGCAGAGATTTTTCCTGTAGTGATGCCTTTGGAATCGAAGATAATCTGGAGAAAGTCCACACTTGCGCAGTAGTAGTCACAGTACGCTTTCTCATAGCACCATATTCAACCAGAGGATGTACACAAACCCTGCGTGCAGAGGTTGAATTTTCGGAGAGATCCATTTTGTTGTTGTAGCTATCCTAAGTCGATATAAACTTGGATCCGCAGCTGACCAGCTTCAGGAATCCTCAGGTCACCACTGTTACTGGTCTGGGAAGCCGTTTCTGGCAGGAAGAGGTGAGAATAGTGCTGTGCGTTGAGGTTTGCGGGATGGGCAAAATAGGCAAGTTCAGTCGGGGGAAGATTGGAGGAAAAGGAAGGAGCTTGGCCCTCAAGATGGCAAAGTGGCTGGATTTGGTACGGTACAGTACAGTAGTGGGTAATTGGGAAGGGAAAGACCAGAAGAGGAGAGGGAAGAAAAAGGAGGGAAATGGAAAAGGGGTTAATTACTTTTAATCTTTTCGGTATTATAGTAACGGTTGCTTTGCAGAAGGGCGCATCGCGGTGAGATGAAGCTTTGTTGAGGACAATCCAATGGTAGATAGAATACGAACTTCTATCGACGGCTGGAAAGTTCAGGTCGATCCCCGCATGATCTGAGTACGGTGAGAGCCCCTGAAGACGAATAAGAATCGTAAGTGATAAAAGGCTCCATTCAACGATTTCCTTAAAGCAACTGTAGCACCCGAATACCCTGACTTATAGTAACGGGACATACCAGGCAAGAATTCTATTTTCCTATGGGAAAAGGAGGAAAATAGGGAATTTTGGCTCCGCCGTTGAGCGAATCTAATTTACAGTCGGTAGGCAAAAGGTTTTCGTCAATCTGCTTAGTCAGATGTCTCACATTTCGCGAACCTTGTTGCCTTGGGGGTGCACGGGTACAGAAAGGGAATCGACTTCAAGACCGGTCCTTGGCAGGATAGTGCTGTTTACCCGGCAACCAATGGGAGCCCGAGTCGAAGGAGTTAATAACTTCCATTATCTGTTCAACGACAGTCTTTTGGACACGGGGCTCCGAGGCTGACAACTTTTTCTCTCGCAATCGACCAAACTCCTCTCATAAAATCAATAGAACCAGTAAAACCAGGCATCAGTCAAGTCAAGGCGGACAGTAGTCGCCGTGGTTGTACCAGTACGAGTAGTTGTAGATGTGGTGGTTGTAAGTTAGCTGTCTTCGATCATCCAGCATCATCTCGGATAATAATAGTCTAAATGATCGAAACTCACTTAAACCGCTCGCGGGGGGAGACGAACCAAACCAAGCAAAGGGAAAAAGGAAAAATAAAATAGAGGACGGAAAGACAGAATAGGAAAGTTTGGCAGGGCGGACTTGTGCGCGCGCGGGGGATACTGTATGCTCCATCAGTTCGTCCAATTCATGAGGGGGAGAGAAGAAAAGGAGGAACGAAGGAAGAAGACGAGGGAATCCCATGGAATGGCCAAGCTAGACCTTGGACAGAACGGCAGAGGTAAAATAAGAAAAGCAATTTAATCGGAAACAGTAACGAGCAGGGGGGGCAAGAAAAAAAAAAAAAATCTAAAAATCTGCGGTACCTGTACACGTACCGGGTGGACAGGGTAGGGTAGGGTAGGGTAGGTCGAGGCAAAGTACTTTTGGATGGGTGGTTGATTACTCGATGCAAGGCTACAAGACAGACTCCTGCAAAAGGAAGAAGGAAAAAAGGGATTGGAACAAAGAAATCTGCCATTATTTGCTATCCTCTACACCGGAGCGGATGGGCGGATGGGTTGGACGTAAAACAACGCTAGACTTAGCGGTATCAAATTCACTTTTAGCACATTTTTTGTTTTTCTTTCTCACCCATCCACTTTGTCTTCACTCCTTTTCCTTTCTGACATGATATATCATACCGGAACGAGTACAGCATTGGTACCATACGTGTACAAGTATGATACCCCCCCAACGCCTCCTATACCCCAGGCAGGAGAAGGGTAAGAAAATCAATCAACAAAAAAAGTATGATAATATTATGATACCACATGATGCCACCATAGCTTCCCACAATCCGAATACGACATAGCAGCAGAGTACCAAACTTCCGACCAATCCACCCTCTCTCCACCACCACAACCCATGGCTCCCTCTAGCCCATCCATGAATCCGCGGAGTGCTCCGTCCCCTTGTGTAATTACCCCTTTCCTCAACGGTATTGCATGTTAAACGTCCCTTCCCTCCACCCCGGTCCAGTCTATAGACCGCCGTGGGGTGCCTGAGAAGAAGAAAAAACGGTAAAGATGGGGGAGAGGGAAGGGAGGGGAAAAGACCAACTTCCTATCCCATCCCCGCCCCCCAGCCTCATTATCCGAACTGTACTTGTACTATTCTCCACCACACCCCCCCTGCCCGGCGGAGCTCGCCACACGCCTTCAATTCGATCAATGATATTTTCTCCGATCGGGTCAGTCTCCACCAACCCTTTCGATCGGAGAATTAAGTTTTTTCCTGACGGCGGAGCTTCCCATCCGGCCCATCCCGGACGATTTACCGTACTTGCATTACATCGTACCTACATGTAGACTCACTTCAATTACGACTCATAGACGATTAATTCTACATTACCTTCGGTACTAGCGGTGTGACCTATTTTTATCCTATGGCTAGCATCCTCCCCTTTTTTTCTACCCCTTAATCTTGCCTGCTTGGACAAAGTAGACATGAGGGGTGTCATGGGGGATCACTCGTATGCTAAGAGTGTTTCGCGCTTGATTGGTTGTTGTTTGCGGTGACGGGTAGGGTTTGGCTTTGTTGGTTTTCTTATGCCTTGTTCGATGCTGTGCGATGCGAGAGACTTGCGGCTAAAGCGCAGGCAACGTTTCCATTTGTCTACATTGTCGAACACCCTTGTAATATGATGCTGTCGCTAGGTTCGCGCTGGGCACCCGGGCTGGATGAGGAGAAAAAGTTCCGGTAGGTAGGGAGTGTGATAAAAAGAAACAACGGCGAAAAATGGTGCAAGTACTCGTACAGTACAGGAACATGGGCGGGGAGACGAAAAGAAGGAAAAAAGAGGGAGGAAAAAGAAACAAAAAAAGAAGGAAAAAAAGAAGTCATGAGGAGAGAAATATGGATGCTACCATAGCGTACGGTACCAAGGGTGGGGGGAGAAGGCGCGGACCCTGATGGCGAGGCGCAAAAACAGTAGGGCGAGCATAACGCTCCGTTCCCTCTCTTTGTCGTTCGTGCCGTTCACATATTGGTTTTCCGCGAGCTGCTTTGATGTTCCTCCACCTTCTCTTGGCTGCGGTGTGGTGCTTGCCGCGCCAGTACTGGCTTGTGGGGAAATGCTTGATATGCGCGTCTTCTTTCTTTTTCTTCTTCCCCTGCTCGAGTAAATATCTTAGCGATCCCTCAGCACATGTCAGGTACCGCTTCGCCTACCGTACTGCTATTGGACCTACCTATCTCTTGTGCGCAGTGCTCGAGTAGGGTATCATAGGTAGGCATAAATCATATTCCCTCTCTCATTTCTTTAACGGGATCCCCGTTACTAGGGATATGGAGTGTGGTGGCCCACCAACCCCAAAAAGTGCATCAAGTTTTTTTTCTTTCTGGTAAATAAAAGAGGACCACACTGTTTCTGCCTGACAGTTCTGGTTTGCAAAATAAGTGCAGCTTAATACGTTTCATTCCTTGGTGATCGATTTCTACGCGCCCGCGCTTCATTGTGCCGCTACGTTGCCGAAATGAGGTGAAGAGTTTATCCACGACTAAACTCCCCTCACCCCCAGTGCTTTGACTCAGAAGAAGTGTATGGGGGGGTTGGGGCAATAGCGAACCTCGCCCGTGCTACAGTAAAGAGAGAGTCTTGCTGATGATCCCGTGTTCGTTGCTTATTCCTTTTTCCATTCATTAATGGTCAATCGCTGTAATAACCTTCAGGATGCGGTTCGGGGGTAATGGAGCCTAACGTAGAGCAAATTCTGACGTCTGGACGGCTTGTTTGTTGGCGCAACCGGGTGGTCGGTCGGTCGGTGAAATGGGTTTCACTACTGGTTTGGACGGCGGTGGTTCATAGAAGAAAATGAAAGAGAAGAGAAGCTTTTGGAATGGAAAAACTTACAGGCGCCGCAAAACAGGGGCCCCACGCCTACGGACCTCTCTACTCCCTTCCTCCTGCTAAGACATGGTGGTGCCATCCCATAGGCGTCAGCTTGACGTTCAAAGCCTTATTTTAGCTTGGTAAGAGGATCTGATCGTGCTAGCTACGAACTTTGCATATAGTTCAATCTGTTTAATGGCTTGCCAACCCGGCCTACGCGATATAGGCAACTAGAGGCTTTTCTCATAGGTCTCAGGGATAAAGGGGGTGAAAGGACTCCCATACTAATACTACCACTATAGGTGGTAAGATCCGGAGTTAGAGCGCATTATAATAGTATATGAACAAAGTACTGATTTAAGGATTATTTATCAAAGGTGTAACTTAGGCCTTATTGCGCTTTCTGCAGGGAAAACTTCCGCCCATCCCAGTTTGCAGGGAAAGGTACGAGTACAACTGTACAAGTACAGTACTGTAGACCTAGTGGTTATATCTAGCCGTTGCCACGTATCGGGCCCGATGGGAGATGGGAACCAACACTCGGAAGTTTAACACCTGGCCTTCCCTTACCCTAGTACCCTGATACCCTCCAACCACGGAAAGGAAAGGTTGTGCCACTCGGGGTCCCAACGAGAACATCGTCCTCATGAGTTCTGACCGGCCATGTCTCCGTTGATGCCTCGATAGCCAATAGATTTCGCCCTTGCACGACCATTCGGTAGAGCAATTTTGAAGCCGATATTGGACAGTTTCAACTTGGGAATTTCTGACACATCGGAGGTGAAATGTGTCTTTACTCTATGCGGAAAACCTGTAGATCGCAATTTGCTTGTCGAGGGGCTGGAAAACCATATTCTCTGCGGGCTAGCTGTGGTTGTCGGCGATATGTACCCCAGTCCAAAAGAAGAGACCAGGAAAAGCAAGTGTTATGGCCGAGAGACATTGGGATCGCACCTCGTTTCGGTCCTAGCGCCAATCCTAGGCCAGGTACACCGTTCAGTCGCTTTGATGATTGGGCAGTAACAAATGAGGGCAAGCTGTGGAATGCGATATCGTGGATCATGCCCTCTCCTGGAACCGTACAAGTATTCCCTTCGCCGGGTGTTCCGCCATATCTCGGGAAACAGAGGCGAAGCTATTCAGTTCTGGCCCTTTTTCACTTATCTTTTTGTGATCGGGGGGGCTCTTTTCTTTTTCCATATCACTTTCTTTTTCTCCAATGCACCTCTCCCTAAAGGGAAAATGGGCTGGATAGCGTGCACCCTTAGGAATTCTGTTTATGCCCAGACAAGGAGTGAAGCAACGCAAACCAATAACCACACCATTTGCTCTACGTACCTTTGATGGACGGAGATGGTTTGGCCATGATAACTCGCAGTCGTGCTGCATGGAATATATGCCTTGCTTAAACTTCAGGTGATCTATAATCTGCGAGGCCGCTCCGTCATGGGATTATCTCTCCGAAATTGCATTTCGGGCTTCGGAGAGGAATTATATGTAAAGAGGTTAAAGTTCCCATGAAAAGAGCGCATTGCCCTCCCCCTGAGGAGAGGTGCTGTATTTTTCCGCCCTATATAGCTCCAAGGAACAAAGGTGATAAAGCTCGCGGGCACAAGGGGGGAGAAAAAAAGAAACCCCCTGCCCCATCCAGGATCTAATACCGCATCTATTATCGCGCGAGCGCTCTACCTTGGTGCAACCCGTGGGATAGCTACCTAGCGATCCTAGAAGACCAGGCCAATAAAAGCTACCTAGAACGCAAAGCGCACAAGGAAGGCGCCCATCCCCAGAGAGTAGACACAAATACGGGAATAATCTAAGGAAATATAGCCCCAATGCAACTGCTCTGTTACGATGGGGCTAGGCACCCTAGAAGGTGTCAAAATCTACTCGACACCGGTCAGTAGAGAAACACTATGGAAGAGGGAAGGGGAAGCCTTGAGTGGAGGTATGTACCCCCGACATTTATCAAATTCTTGATAGAAAAACAAAGCAACGATACACCCACCGATACAGCGGAGGGCGGTTAAATTAATGATCCATTACGAGCCGTATTCTACTTCTTCCCGCAGCACCGGGCTCGGGATCCCCCAGAAACCCGAAACCAGCAAGCAGACAAATAAATCAAAGAAGAGAAGGAAAAGGTATGAGAAAAAGGTGGAAGATGCCTAGCTATGATGAAGCTCGGTAGACTCCCTCCACACCATATCCTATCCTATACAGGCCACTGAGGGAGGGGGGGCAGGCTGGACATGATAGGTCGCAATAGAAAATCTTAATGGCACGGCCTGCAGCAGGCAGCCTTAGGGCCTCAGAGCAACATGGGACCAGGCGGTTGCTTTGGGCAAATGCTGGTGAGTCTTCTCCTTCCATAACCCCCACCCTCTCTAGATATATTGATGACGACAGGGCAAGGGACCACGGGTAGCGAGAAGCACTTGTTTTGGTAGTTTAGGGTTCCCTTGCGGATCATTACCGGTGTTTAATATTATTGCCCCTGCGGCTTGTGTGCTCCAATTCCAATTTCCAACAGGGGCGATCCCATCCACCCCGCCGCAAAGGGCACCCCGGCATAAGCCACTCAATCAGCTGGGCGGTCACGTACCAAGATAGTACGAGCAAAAAGAGTGGACTGTTGCTACCATTCACAATACGAATGATGGTCTAAGCATATTCGAACACCATTAGTCTTGCATATAAAGGGTCCCCATTCGCACCATGAAAGAAGAGGAAAGCTCACGACTACTGCGATTACCGAGCCCCACCATCGTCTGCGCTCAGTCACTCAAACATCCTGAGAAGGCCCGTATATACTTCTAAAGTTTTGCGTCCTTCAAGCCTCCCTAGCAACCGTGGTCCTTTTCTCTCTCTTTCGCTCTCTTCTTGAAACTTACCTTCCTCGCCCGGCTCACCACTTACGTACAAAAATATAATCGTGGTCCCCCAAACCGACCACCACGACGTACTTGAGCCCCTGATATTCCGTTCAATATAATCGCAGCGATCACAACCATTATGCCTCAGGGCCCACGAAACCCCAACGAGAAGGCAGTCCACCCTCCCTTATCTGATGCTACTAGCGATCAGCCATCTCAATCCCAAGGGGCACGAGTCCAGGGTCGGGACTTGGATCTCATCCAAGAAAAGCAACAGCAACGCACTCTCCAAAACCGTCAAACCACATCTCCAACTATAGGCATAGCATCACCACTTGAGCCAGGTCAGGACCCGCAACCTTATGGTGGCAGGCAGCACCGACCTGCCTTCGGCGAGCCATTGAGCCCCGGGATCACGGTATCTGATATTCATGGACGCTCTCGCTCAAGCTCCATTACAAGCTCCTCTTCCGGGGATGAGACGCAACCCCAACGCCCCGAGCTCCGGTACAGCCCCATGCTGATTAGGCATATGACTATGGGCCCAGAAGAGCCACTACGCTATGAAGCAGATATAGCTATTCGGGGTGGGTTGGTCAGGGACGGTGAGAGTATGGCTCACAGGAGGGCGGGGGAAGAACAGCTCCCTGTCTCGGAATCAGGAGTTAGTGAAAGCGCTGCCACAAGCTCAGTTACCCTAGGGAGAGAAGTGACGGAAGATGTGATGTCTGGAGAACAAAGCATGGATGGATAGGATATCTTCAACCAGATTGAATGAAAGAGCGAGGAGCTATCATATTTTAATTAGTTATTCGGGGTGTTGGTACTACCACAAATCTGCTTGTGGGAATGAGTATACTTAATTGTTAACAATTCTGCTGGAGGTTTGGGAGGTCATTGGCAACAGAACGTCTTAAGAATGGCAGGGACATTATAATTATTATTAGACGTGTGCATGCAGGAAGAATGTGTATCTATTGCAATTGATGGGCCCAAAATCATCCGTGATTACTCTCAGTGACGAGCTCTTTCCCAAGCACAACCGTCGTTCAAGTGCTAATTTTCCTAGATTGCCGGTTTGTGGTGCGCTTGAAACCTGCTTCATAGGGCGAGTAAAAGATAAACAGTCCTCAGCGGCAGAACCTGCATACCTCATACAACGCCTCTGAGGGAAGGATATGTGGCTCGAGAGTATCCGGGGTCGGGATCAGTCTCCAATTGACCAAGCCAGGGTCTTGTGGAGTTTGGATTGGCCCTCCATGGCGGGAGAGCTCTCGAAACTCCTGGATCGGGCCCTGTTGACATATTCTCATCCAAGTCTCATCCAAGCATAGATCACGGTTTCAGGCATCCTCAAGGATTGATGCCCTAGTCCTCGCTTGTCCAAGTCCCAGTTTGTCCAATTTCTTCCACCTCCTTGTTGACATCGGATTTCGAACCCATGATCACAACTCGTTTCTTATCCAACTGTCCCCGAGCCGAAGGTCAGAGGAAATCGACGATAGGCGAGATAGGGATTAAACAATCGATATATCTCGAATAAGGAACAGGTAGTAGGCATGAAGTACCCAAACAAAGGGATCAAAAATTTATACTGGAAATTACCCGTGCACGTCTGAGCACCGATACTAAATTCAGACTCAAATGTTCGGGTATTTCATACCGGACACTTGTAGGTCCATTGACCCTTCCAATGAGCATGACAATCTACCCACATCGACCGTCAAGACTCGCGGCTATGCATAAGGGGTACTCATACCATAACACAAAAAGCTTTCAACTAAGGATTCGCAGGGGAGATGGTCGATATATGGCCCCCCAAGGATATTCCACCGCCCATCATCTCCATTCCATCCCTCCAGCCCGTCAAAGACACCGACGCCAATGCTTAGCTGAGAGGCCTTGACAGTCAGGCACAAGACAGCGTGTTTTCAGAGGCGGAAACCTCCCCGTCCCGTTGTTCACAATTCTTAGGTTGATTGCCTAAAAACATCTTAATCAGCAACCAATCACTCCACAAACCAAAAGCATCAAAAAAGAAAATTTTCTTGCCTCCTCCGGTGCCTCACTTTTCATCACTCATCAGGGGGTTAGAAAAAGCATTCAAAAATGGTAAGGGGTTCACCACCCTTATGTTCTCAACCCTTCGCCCCCTGTAGTGAAATTCACATTTCACATTAGCAAGCTGCCGTGCCAAAATCCACGGCATCGAGGATGCGCTCAATGTGTTGTCGATCCGAAGTCATGTGAATTTAGCGAGGAATGAATTGGTTGGTATGATAAAACACATGGCATGAGATTGCTGGGTCGCCACGGAAAAGAACCCTACCCGAACATGCTTCTTTTTTATTTTCTTTTTCCTTATTTTCCCACCTCGAGAAATAAAATGAAATAACTTGAGGAACTCCTGGGTTCCGGTCAACAAATGCAAGGCCCGAGCTCAAGGAAAAAGGTACGGCAGGAATTCCGTATCGTGGGATGTTTCAGGATGAGAAAAATATCGGTACGCAAGGAGGTTGACACAAATCAAGCACCATACGGTACCCCCTGCCTCCAGCCGGCACTGGTTATGCTGGCAAACCATCCTTCCTTCTCGCCATCGAAAACAAGGTCCGAATGGACAGCCGGCGATGATATGCAGCCCAGAGTCATGGATCCTGATGTCCTCAATTTGTATGCAACCTCTAATTCGCTCAACATTCTGGAATCCAAAGGTGACAATCCACTGGAGAGCGGGAGAATTGAAATCACTCAGGCCCGACGGAGGTGAGCGCCAGAGTCCCGCACCCACACAAGGGTTGTAGAGGCAACCGCTCGTATGTCCCTCCCTCCCTCATCCCCCCAATTTTTCGTTTTCTCCAGTCCCCCTCCTCCCGCTGGTTTCCCCTTGGATATTGTGGTGCTATAAATCGACTATTTAGTAACAACAAACCAAATCATTCCCCCCAGTGGGTTGAGCAAGCTAGCGAATAGGGAAACTTCAATACTACCAGCTCTTGGTGGGTTATCGCTGCTAGTAATAGCGGTGTCCAGTCGTTCGTATAATAAGTAACCATTCCAATAAGACCGAGAAAGAGTGAGGGATTCGGAAGGAGAGCATCAACAGAAACCTACCATACACGGGGAAAAAAAACAGTGCTTCACATTGGAGGCGCTGAACGGGCTGGACCCCGAACTTATACTGGTGACCCCTTTCCAGCATAAGGAATACATGGCATAATGAGCAATATACTGGCATCTCCTCTAACACCTCCCGAGCGACTATTCTTTCCACAATCAATAAGCCCCAAACCGTACTCCGCGGCACGATTACCGTTTTTTACCCCATCTCCGCCCCCGGGAAAGATTTTGCTAGGTACCGTAACCTTATTACCGGTATACCGGTAACGTGGGTTCCTTACAAATATTTGCGTCAAGTCAAGTTACAAGAGTATTATGGTTTCGAAATGGATAATTGCTACCAGACACGCACATATAAAAGATACGAAGGAATGTCAGTCGTCTCAACACCGGAAAAATCAACAAAAAATTCTCCCCACCCCACAATGCTATTTCCTTCTCATGGGGATGGCCCTACCACCGGTACCGTAAGAACTGGAATACTGTAAAGACTTGGACAATTGAACTTTGCGCTAAGACGTCCAAAATTCCCTCTCTTGGATAGGGGTGAGAACACTGCGAAATCTGACCCCCTCAGTCTGACGCTAAGACAAAAGAAAGTAAAATACTGCCATCTTACCAGCAAAGGCAACTGTAACGTCCCAGCGCGAGGTTCAATTATTCAGTCCTTGCGGCAATTGAGCCACGGTAAGACGTCCAGAGTTCCCCACTTTGGATAAAGGGGAGCCCCCCCCTGATATGTAGGAGCACGAGTAAAACCCGGATTTCAGCCCACTTCTGAGACAAATAAAAAAGAAAAGAAAAAATACAACAGACCTTACTAGGAGAAGAAATCCTAATGCCCCAGCGTGGCGGTGGGGTTCAACTATCCCAGTTCTTACGGCATAGCCGCGCTCGCAAAGTTTTCTGTTCGCACCTAGAAAGGCTTCGCTAGCACTCTCCTTCCTTCCACTGTTCAGTAAGAACAACTTGTGATCAATATCCCTAGAGGCATACACGAGAACAGTCATTTAAAAGGCTCTTGCAGTTTCTATGATTTGTTAACGGGTGAATTTTTTTTTTCCGGGCACAAGGATAAGAATTCTGCGAACGCAACTGTGATCCAACACGGGCAGCATTTCGGAATGCACAGCGCATGACTCCCTCCCCCGGCAGTTCATTATTCACTCGAGTACCCGCCGCCCTATGCATTCATACGGCAAGGTTAATAAGATAAAATGCCGGTAATCCTTTTCTCTCTTTCTCCCTCTTCCACTACCACGTACCGGGACTGGGAACCCCTTGCTTTTCGATGGGGGGTTGTCGTTGTTTTTTCTTTGCACTTTTTTGCCCCCGTTGCAAGGCTGAGAATATGCAAACCCGTCTTACCATCTGTCAGCTGGCTCAGTGGCACCAGCTCACGAGTGAGAACATGTGACGGCATCGATCAACTATACCTTACCGACATTAGGCTGGAGCGATTTCGCAACGCAAACTTTGGGATCGCTATCTCTGCGGTAACCGTTGTTTGCTGTGGCAAGGAGCCGTTTTTTTTTTTTTTTTCCAAAAAAAAAAAAAAAATAGGGATTTCGCATATCTGTGAAAAACCTGCCGTGATTCTCGCCGGTTACATACAACGTGGGATGGGTGAAATACCGTCATACGAGTATTTGTTCACTTGACGAGAACTCACGATCTCCCAGCTCGACTGCGATAGCAGGACCCTATCACAAACGTGGCCATCTATAAAATGAGACCCTCACTCGAGCTTGTGACCCGTTGCCGTTGGAATAAACTATTACTAGCCCGGAAACCCGGCAGATGTGCGCGGATGAATGAATGGCCAACACATGAGCAGCGCCGGTAATAACCATGATGAAGGCGACCACTCATGTATGCGTTCTCCCTTCTCTGGAAGGAAGAAAGAGAGAGAAAGAAAAAGGGAAGAAAAAGTATCTGCACAGCAGGTCCCTTGACTTGAACACGACAGGGCATGCTGGATGTTATACCATAGGTGGAAAAATTAACTGTAAGCAATAATAACAATAATAATAATAATACTTGTACAAGGTGCATCTACTCTGCTTCGCTTTAATCCCGTTGGGATAGAGTAAGGGAGAAACCCAGCTATGATACGAAAGCTCTGCGCTGTAGTGTATGGTTCGTGCCATCCAAAATGTGTTCACGAGGAAGTAGCATTCCGAAAATTTAATGATTATACAGCTCCGCCAAGTTAGGGCATTAATCCCTCCCAAAAAAAATAAGAGAGAACCTCTGGATTATTAAGAATACTAAAGATAATAACGTAGGGGTTTTTTCTTCTTCGTTGAAGCGATTAAAGGTAACAATAGCGAGATATAATCCATTAAAAAGTTGCACCCTTCAGATATCACGAAGCCTATAGTACCATCCGGTACGAGCCCAATCGCTTTTCCGTCAGCTTCTCATACCCTCCGCCGAAGAACTTATAATACCTCAACAACAACAACAGAACAAGATCCTTCCATAATACATAGGCTGCTGTTCCGGGATATCACACATCTCTATGAAACATTGTAAAAATTTACCGCAACAAAACCCTACATTCTCACAGAACGGTATCATAGAAGAAGGAGTGTGCTATATATAGCAAGGACTAGTATTACGAAAACGAAGTACTGGCACCGCAATCACCCCCCCCCAGAACTAACCTATAAAGAAGCACAGGATTACATATATACCGGCTACTGTACCACCACCACGGGGGAAAAAAAAAGGAGGGAGAAAAAGTCGCACAATCCCGCACCGCATTCACTATCATATGGTACAGTACCCTACACACCCTACCGCTAGGGGGATCAAATATACGTGATATACCGTATATTTTGCCCTTGCTTATCTCTTCATACCATACATGCCGTGCATATGAGACCCTAAATTTCGACACCCCGAATTGTATCCTCTAGGTATCATAGGTCCCGCATATCAGAAAAATATTTCCAGTGCTGTGGTAACCGTCAGTTAAATATTTATGGTACCGGTAAATCAATAGCTTATCATACCTGCCGACTGCTACTCTTGAGCAAAAATCTTTCCACAGCTCGTAACTTTCATACCTCCATGTGCGGTTTGAGTTGAAATTTTTTAAAATACGTACTCAATATTATTATACAATCATTATAACTGTATTATACAAACTTGTATAATACGAACCTCACACCCTACAGGTTACCACCCACCCGTACAGTAGTACACTGAGTACAGTACAGTACAGTACAGTACAGTACCGTAGGTGGTAATATTATATAACAGACCGACACAAGAGCCGAGACGTCAAGACAAGCTTTTAGTTTGCACTGCAGTACTTGTACTTGCACAGTACAATACAGGACCTCACGCTTCGAGCAGGGTTATGATAGAGCGATAGGTATCATATCGCCACTTGATGTATTATTTTTTTTATCTCCTCGGGGACCACGGATCCCCCCCCCCTCTTATGATAACTCGTACGGGTCCTAGCTTTTTCGAAACGTCGGAGGACGGACAAAATAGGTAAAACTGGTATTAAAAAAAAAAAAAAAAAAAGGGTGGACCATACACACACTATCACAACTCGGAATACTATCCCACCAATAGAGAAAGAAAAATATTTGGGAATATTATCTCCCCGGAGGAAGCAAGATGACATCGCAGGAGGCAACTCAAACGGCAAACGCAACTTGGTCCGATTTTGCGAATCCATCCCGATCAACACAGATCCCGGATTTGCCAAAGCGAGCGCTTATACAAGTTTTTCGTAAATTTACTTGTACAGTACCGTCCGGACCCGAGCGAGAGGGCATGGCGGTTCCGGATGAGATCCTCGAGAATAGAGCTTTTCTGGAGTCCCGATTCGGTTGCGAACAGAAAATTTTTAAATTTGAACAGACTAACCACTAAACCAAACAAGGAAATTGTGTAACTGTGAGGTATATGAGAGAAAAATCAAGAGTACCAGAGTCTTTGATCAGGCATGTCAGGATCAAACCTCAATACCTCAACTTGAGATGGATCTTTCAAACATTGTGAAGACAGTTCCAGCAGCAGAATTTTAGCCTCTAATCCAAGCCACAAGTCGAGACACCAATACTCGGCAATCTGATGGTTTCGCACATGGCTCGAGTATGAGTCATGGGACATGCGCCTTACGAGTATGCCTTACCAGTATGCCTTACAGGCAAGTCTTGCGCATATGATTTATGTTTCGCACATGACCTCATTATGATGTCATGGGTTTCGTGCATATGACTCAGTTGAGTCATATGACTTGTTTATTGCGTTATGATTGGTTTATGAGTTTTGCACATGACCTCGCTATAAGGTCATGGGTTTTGAGCATGTGATCACTTTGGTCACATGACTAGTTTGTTTTGATTTGGTTTTGCACATGTGACCACTTTAGGTCACATGATTAAAGGCGGGAAGAACACTATATAAGGAGGCCGATGCGGCCGAGGAAGATAGGTTCTTCACGCTTTGTTCTAAGTACTTTTCCTACTTATTACTTTAGCAAATATAAAATACCTTTACGATCTTTATCTTTACTGCAACGTTATTGTTACACAAAGGAAGGTTCTTCACGAAGATGAGTTAGAGAAAGCTTACGATAGGCGTTCTCGATAGAAGACAAAGGTCTTGTACTATCGGTAACATAGGCAGAGGCCTAGAGCTATCGTAAGACAAAGGAAGAAAGAGACAAAAACGAGAAGTATCGTTCCCCATCGCCAAGAACTAACTATCCAGAGAGGGATCGTTACACTGTACTACGATCAGTGACATTAATCCATACTCAACACCATGGCGGTCAGCTGGTATAATGATCCCTCCTCAGATGGTTAGTTCTTGGCAACGGGGAATGATACTTCTCTTCTTCTTCGTTTTCTTTCTTCGTCTTACGATAGCACTAGGCCTCTGCCTACATTACCGATAGTACAAGACCTCTGTCTTCTGTCGGGAATGCCTGTCGTAAGCTTTCTCTAACTCTTCTTCATGAAGAGCTTTCCCTCTGCGTAACAATAAATATTGCAATAGAGATAACGGTCATAAAGATGATTTATATTCGTTAAAGTAATATGTAGGAAAAGTACTTAGAATTCAATCTAATTTTATTTAAACTCGTACCGCCAATACTAGCATACGATGAGCCCCTACGGGCACAGGGATACCGCTAACCGGTATACTACTAATCCTAGGCTAACTAAGTCTATGGCCCTGCACCTGCCATTCCCAAGTCATGCCCGCACGAGAACTAATTACAAGACCATCAAACAACCCAGCGCCCATCCCGATCCAAATCCGTAGCCCCTCTGGTATGAAGCCAATCAGCACTAAGCATAGCCGAAGCTGAGCAAAAGACCGATCCGACCAGGTTCCTCATCCAACAATCATAAAATTACTACCACCCGGTCTCAACACTGTCCCGTGATACCTCCTTCACAGTAGAAAACCAACAAAAATACACAAACTAAACCTACAGGCGACACAATGGTAGGGAGGGGGCAACCAACATGTCAACCTCTCGCACCCGCATGCCAGGCCGTCGACTCTATGAACTTACTTTACCGGTTGCCTCCGAGGAGCGTACCGGTGAGGAGGACCTGTACTCGCTACCTGTCCCTTAAACAAAACACTATAACAAAGGAAATACATAGAGGTAGTAACAGACCAAAAAAGGTCAGTGGGACCTATCTCCCACCCGTGGTGCCATGCCTCCTCCTGCCAAACCCGTAGCCAAACCAAAGAAACCAAACAAACCTCACAAAATCCAGCACACAAGACCTAAACAAGTCCAAATAGGTGGTCACAACCCACTATCCACACAGGTGGCCATTAGCTAGCCAGTCCGCCAGGGAGCTTACAGCACTCAGCAGCTTGACCCAGCAGCCCAAGTCAAACTGGAAACACTTAATTAGACCTTGCCCAACCTGACGCAGGCCCGACCGGTACTTGTAACGTGTTCGTAAGGTGCTAATCACGTTATCGGTAATAGATACGATAGTTGGCAGGCGGCCTGCTCTTCCAGAGAGGAGGCGAGAGCTGAGAACTAAAGGAGGCTTCGAGGGTGTACTGGGAAACAAAGAAGTAACCGTTCAACCAAGTATATTGAAATACTGTCTGTCGAAGTCTGCCTTTTCTATCGTAGAAACAGGCGGTCTTTAAATACACAAATCTGTTCATACCTAGCATGAACGAAACTAATCAAAGGTATCAATCGATACACTTTGGTAAAACTCCTTAAGTATCAAAGCGATACTTAAAACAAATATAAAACAAAACCAAGTATCAAACGATACTTAAAACAAACCAAGTATCAACGCGATACTTAAAACAAAACATAAAACAAAACCAAGTATCAAACGATACTTAAAACAAACCAAGTATCAAAGCGATACTTAAAACAAAACATAAAACAAAACCAAGTATCAAACGATACTTAAAACAAACCAAGTATCAAAGCGATACTTAAAACAAAACATAAAACAAAACCAAGTATCAAACGATACTTAAAACAAACCAAGTATCAAAGCGATACTTAAAACAAAACATAAAACAAAACCAATAACCAAGTACCCGTACCGGTTACATTCCCCAAAATAAAACAATTGTTTAAACAAACAAAACCTAATAATCATCAAAAGCGGATTCCGAGAAACTCATGGCTTCAGTTTCCGCAAGAAACTCTTCATCGTAAGTGTCACACCAGGGACAAGAGGAAACTCTAAGGAAACACTTAGACTCGAAGAAATCTAAATCACAGTAGTCACGAATACCAGATTCGTGCTGTACATCAACCCAAGCATGATCACAATCAGGACAGTAGTCAATCCAGAGGATTTCGAAATAGTCTTCAAGTTGGATAACATCGCGGTTCAACAACAGTCCAACAATCTGTTGTCGCTGCCTCACATTGAGCTCCACATAGTTTGACATCGTTATGGTATTCGGATGGTGATTGGTGACTAGATAAAGTTGTCGAGGGCCTGCTCCATAGCTTGATTTTTGCATCGTATTT